CTTTCATATTTCTGACTCTCCCCATTTAAATACTGCTGTTTTGCTATGTGGAGATTTCTTGTCATACTTGTGATTTCGTCTAAATATACATAGTTCATCCTCTTGTCTGCTGCTGACCTAACCTGCTGAGTCTCAGTGGGTGCTGATTGTGTCCCGTCATTCAGATGTTGCACGCAGGGGGCATTACTGTGTGATTTCCAGAGGATGAAGGAAAACAAGAGGCTTGGTTCAATGCTGTGAGATATCAACCTGTGATGGAAAGCTCGAGGGCACCGCTTGTAATTCCCAGGGGGACTTTATACTCAGAAAAGCAGTGAGAAGCCCTATGCTTTAGCCTGCCTGAGGACTCCACTGCTGGATTCATAAATACTCATTTTGACTTCTTAACCACATGTGAAACAAATGACAAGTTGAAAAAAAGGGTTTCCTCAAAATGCAAGCTTTGGTTTACTTTCCCAACTGCAGAATGCTTCAGTCACCCACCTCATTGCCTTTTATGGCCCCACCCTGCCCTGTCCCCATGGCCATGATGAGGCACTAGGAGAGTTCTGTTAAGAAGCTCACCTCAGAAGAATTTGCATAGAAAGGCAATAGTAAGGGTCCTTTTAAAAGGCCTCCTGCTACATCTGCTCTCCTTGATTCTGAAATCATTTGCTTAAGTCTCTAATGATCGTATCTATAGCTAATCACATAAGAAAGGGACACTCTCACCAAGCAGCATTTGAACTTCACAGTCAAAACCCAACGCTTCCAACTTAGATGTGGTACCAGCTTCAGAAAAAATGGAAATAAAAAAAGTGGACACAAACGTCTGCTGGAAATGGACTCTCTTCTAGCGATGCTTGAACTGATCTGCAAGATACTGGCACTGCACCCTCCACTGTTCATCAAGGCCATGGTAGGGACTGGATGCCTTCCTGCTGGCTCCCAGTAGTGAAGATGGACATGGTCCTCTTTGGCAGGGTGTTGCCTCTGCACTCTGTAGCCATTCTGGCAGAGTAAGAGTGGTACAAACATTCAAGCAGAAGCGATGCTCTCAATTTGTGCCAGAGAGACACCTCTACCATCACAAATGATCATTCTGCCCAAGGTGGATTGCTTTTTTGGCCTCAGAGAAACCCACTGCACAGGTGGGTTTCACACCACCTTCTTCCCAAAGGGCAGATGCTTTGAAGAGGCTGCCAGGCCTGTGCAGCTGCTGGCTCACAGGGCAAGAGACGTTTAAAAAACCTTACTTCCTTGCTGATCAATGAGAAGCGGGGCTTTCTGCTTCCACTTTTCTAGGGTTTTTGCTCTCAGGTTCCTCCAATGCCTGTCAGTGATGATAACACCATCAGGACTCACTTTTTATTCATGCCGTCTTAAAATACTGAGGGCCGTGTCAATGCGTAGATGTTCATGCCAGTGATGTTCAGCAGCTTAGTTTACAGCTAGTCTTGCAAGGTCATTCATTGAGATTCTTGTCACATTTTACTATATAAAATTATTTGAATAAGGGTGGGGAAAAAAAATAAATCATCTAATGTAGAAGTCCAGGCAGTGAGACCCTCCAGCTGGTACTGTTGTCAGAGTTTGTCAGTGTTCCTGCTCCATGGGCTTGGAAGTGACCTTTGTGGAAGGGCAGCTGCTCACTTGGTCACAGAGAACGCTTGGGCTCCTGGGTTTCAACACATAACTAATGACAAAGATGTCCTTTTCAGTATAATCTGATGTAAAAACTGTAACTTGTTATACCTTTTCCCTTTTTGAAGCTGCAGTACCGCTCCTGCGTGCATACTGTTTGTGTTATGCAGCCATCTAGAGGGCCTGCTGCCTTACCGACTTCAGACTGTTGACCAGAAACCACAAAACTGCAGGAAAACCCAAGCTCTGCTGACCCTTAGTGGCCATAACTCGGCTGCAGTGCTGTGGGAATGTTTTTACAAATTCAGGAGTGCTGTTCTGGTACTGTTATGCAGGTGGTGTCATATTTTTTTGTGGGGAGAAGGTACTGACTAACCTGCTGAGGGCAAAATTGGGGAAGCCCTGTCAGCAGAGAAGAGGATCTGGATATCATAGAGGAGAACGTACCTGACCTTGAGATTTTACAGCAGTTCCACAGAGCAAATACTATATCTTGCACCTAGGGGCTATCAAAATTGACACCATAAACTGAAGGTGAGTCATTGCCTGACAAACACAGATGGGAAGAAAAATTGGAGGCAAAAGGCAAAATTATTAGAGACCACCACGTGGCTCTGATGGACAGATGTGATTCTTGGAGACATCAGGATATGCGTGTCTGGTTCAGATAGGGAAGACTTAACCCCTTGTACCGGCGAGACTTCACCTGGAGCATCAGACACAAGGCTGGCATTCCAAGATGAGGAAAGAGAAATTTGAATACACAAAGAAGGCCTCAAGGTGATCAAGGGAAGTGAAACCCTATTTAAAAGAGGAACTTAAAAGATCCAGCAAGACAACATCCACAAAAGGATATGAAATGTTTCCCCCATTAAAAAATGACATCACTGATGTCAACAATAGAAAGGGATAAAAGTCACGTGGTGCAAGATCAGATGAGCATAAATTGCCCAAACATTTTGGGCTGTAAAGTCAATGTGTTTTTAACACTAAGAGTAGTGAGGTTCATTAGCTGTGTCTGAAGTGTCAAGAGGAGGGAACCCTCTCCCCTTGCGAAACTGCATGTTGATTCATGAGGTGGTTGTCAGCACCAGCACTTCCAGCCCCATGTTCCTGCTTTGGTGGTGCTCTTTGGACCTGCTAATTTGTCAAGTTATGTCATGATGCTTGTAAAAACAGTGTCCCTGCATCAGGTACCTTGCACTCCAGGAGGGGGAAAAAATGTCTGTGAGAGTCTGCTATGGACATCCTTTTGGTCTGAATACAATCCTTCACTTTTACTTCAGCATTAATTTACACAACATCTCTTGGACCAACTTTTCAGAGACTGATATGTTGAAGAATATGTCTGTGTTTTTACCCTTCCTTGCAGCATTTGACTGTTTCCCAGTGCCCTCCCTGTGGCTTGTCCCAGTTCCTGTGTAAAACAGTGAAGCTGGCACCGTTTTCCCAGGAAGCCCTTATACGAATTATACTCTCTTACAACCCCTCAGCTGTCAGGGTGCCTGCATCTGCAGTCAGGTCATGATAAACGCTATGGAAACACAGACCAGAATGGTAACTTCTTACCCAAATGGTTCATGCATTTGATATAAGCAAACTGACAGGTTCTTAGCAGATATAAGCAGACCTGCATTGCACATTTCATGCCCAAAGACAATGATGTTTCATAAAATCATAGAATAGTTTGGGTTGGAAGGGACCTTTAAAGATCACCTAGTCCAAACCCCCTGCAATAAGCAGGGACATCTTCAGCTAGATCAGGTTGCTCACCCATCCAACCTGACCAGGGATGGGGCATCTACCACCTCTCTGGGCAACCTGTTCCAGTGTTTCACCATCCTCACTGTAAATTTTTTTTCCTTCTATCTAGTCTAAATATACCCTCTTTTAGTTTAAAACCATTGCCCCTTGTCTTATCACAACAGGCCCTACTAAAAAGTCTGTCCCCATCCTTCTTATAAGCCCCCTTTAAGTACTGAAAGGCTGCTGTAAAGTCTCCATGGAGCCTTCTCTTCCTCAGGCTGAACAACCCCAGCTCCCTCAGCCTGTCCTTATAGGAGAGGTGCTCCAGCCCTCTGATCTCCTTTGTGGCCCTCCTCTGGACTCGCTCTAGCAGGTCCATGTCCTTCTCATGTTGGGGGGTCCAGAGCTGGATGCAGTACTCCAGGTGGGGTCTCACCAGAGTAGAGGGGCAGAATCCCCTCCCTCGACCTGCTGGGCATGCTTCTTTTGATGCAGCCCAGGATGTGGTTGGCTTTCTGGGCTGTGAGTACACATTGCCAGCTCATGTCCAGTTTTTCATCCACCAGTACCCCCAGGTCCTTCTTGGCTGGGCTGCTCTCAATCCCTTCAATCCCCCAGCCTGTGTTGGTACACAGGGGGATGTGCTGATGCAGATGCCGGACCCTGCACTTGGCCTTGTTGAACCTCATGAAGTTCACGAGGGACCACTTCTCAACCCTGCCCAGGTTTCTCTGGATGGCATCCCGTCCCTCAGGCACCTCAGCCACACCACTCAGCTTGGTGTCACCTGCAAACTTGCTGAGGGTGCGCTCGATCCCGCTATGTCATGGATGAAGATATTGAACAGTGCTGGTCCCAACACCGACCCCTGAAGGACACCACCATTTCTCAGTCCGTTTCTCAGCCCACGAATTGCGCTGCAGCTCTCCAGGCATGTGTCGCTTGCCGGGTCGCAGCCGCAGCCG